GAAGAGAGAGACCGTTCAGTCCCTCTGGCTTGACAGTCATTTTGAGCGGGATCCCTCTCTGGCCCCCCCAACCAGGGGCAGGGCAGTGAAGGGTAGACCTGGGGGAACCTGTGTCATTTGGGCCAAATGCCCGAGTTAAAATTCAGAGTTAGCGAGCGATTGTCAGATGATGAAGCTCACCAGTGTAAAATGAACTTCTGGGGTAAAAAAGGGAATCTGACATCTCATAAAAAGAATCAAATTGTTACAGTTATATTATTAGCGAGTTTAGTAACCACGGTTTAAACGTTTGACCCGATAATACAGAAACAATACAGTCCTTAGCTCTGTCAGCTGCTGGATCGCACCCGCAGCCAAAACGTGGATTGCACGATTCGGTGTCACCTTCAACTTACACATTTAATAATATCACTAAGCTTTCAAGCACTGAGATTATAATTCAAGAAAATTGGTTTTCAGCAATAGGTTTTCCTAGGAAATCTTTGTACCTAAGATCTTTAGTTTGGGCAGATCTCAAAACTCCTTCATCTCCAATTACTAGAAATTGTTAGCATTCTATAGCAATCATCTTGACCAGACTTTTCATTTAAATGTTTAGCCTTGACAGACTCAAAACTATAAGGAACTGTCTTCTTAAAACATTCTTATAAAATCTGTTACTTGGAAGTTTAATTGGTGAGAACAAAATGTGTTGGGCGGGACCTTGTTTGTTTTTTTCCTTAATACTTAGTTTTAAAACCACTTAAACACTTATTTTTGTGAGGAAATTCATCTGTGGTTGCAATATCATTCATTACTTATGTTTGAAAGTGACTATTCGATGTTACCATTAAGTCAGAATGGCATGCCTATACACAATTTTAAATGTTTTTTGGTTAGTCCTCACTTGAGGATATTTTTTCCATTGATTTTTAGAGATAGTGAAAAAAAGGTCAGGGGAGAAATATTGATGTGAGAGAGACACATCGATTGGTTGCCTCCCGCACAAGTCCCGACTAGAGCTGGGCATCTAACCTGCAACCCATGCCCCTGACTGGGAATCAAACCCTTGACCCTTTGGTGCACAGGCCAATGCTCTAACCACAGAGCACACCAGCTAGGGCTATCTATAATTTTGGAATTGTTAAGGTTGATTAGCTAAGACTGTAACCCAGTGGTCAGCAAAGTGTGGCCCCTTGAGTGTGGCTCTTCCACAAAATACCATGTGAGGGCGCGCATGTACAGTGCGATTGAAACTTCGTGGCCACACTCAAGGGGCCAAAGAGCCGCATGTGGCTCGCGAGCCGCAGTTTGCCAACCACTGCTGTAACCCATGCAATCCTATGATCTTTGATCACATGCAAGTTCAGGGGTGCCAAAATGATGATGATGGAGACATTTTGCTATTCAGCTTTGCAAGGCCAAATGGAAGTTATAGAGCTAATTTGGACTGAAAGCAAGTTCTAGTGGGACACGGAGACTGAATTCAACCTTCAGAACATCTCTCTGTCTCATTCTTCAGGCCTTAACTACTTAGTCCACATTCTCTGAAAACTCTTCCCACCCCTTCTAAAATATCATCCTGGTCTTTTGGTGACCCTGTGGATGTCCTAGCCAGGAACCTTAGGGT